GCTTATTTAAAATGGAAGGAATAAATGAATCGTTTTGAAACTCAGCATGTTTATTCATTACATATTAAAATATAAGAATCTGATTTTTTTTCAAAATGGCCGCTGTAGTAACTAATCTTCTAAGGCCCTCGCGGCGAAACGCATCAATCATGGTGATTTTTAGCTTTAGTTACAGTAATCTAAAATTAAAAAAAGGGTCGGAGCATGTTAATAAAACATGTATCTTCTAGTTGAACTAAGGAAAAACTAAAAAGTCAAAAAATCGTAAATTGGCACGACTCAGACAAAAAAGTCTGATTTTTGACCCTTTTGTTAACGGTTTCTGGGTCAAAATGACAATTTTTGAAAATTTTTGTGACATTTTTAAAGTTCAACTAGAAGCTAATACTATAAAGAAAATGTGTGCTTAATTTCATAAGAATCGGTTGAAACCTTTTTGAGCTATCCTTCACCACAGTTTGAAAAAAATCGTTTCGAGAAAAACGCGTTCAAAGTTTAGCGTTCGCGTCTAGCGCCGAGTTGAGGCGGAGCACTTAAATGAATTTTTAATCGATAAATAATTCGAATTTCATTCTAAAACTTTACAGGCATATTTTTAAGATGGTAAACTAACTATTTATGAAAAAAAAAAATTCGATTTTTTTTTTATTTTACATGTATCGCCGGCCTTAAGATCCCTTCTAATATTGTCTTCCCAACTACATCTCGATCTATCTAGTGGTCTTTTCCCTTTTGGTATACTGATCAGTATTTTATGCACTGTTCGATCCTCCCTATGTACGACACGTGATTTACCCATCTTAACGTGATTTTAAAACGTTAATAATGCTCGGTTTGTTGTACAATCGATATACTTCTATTTTATGGAGTTTTCTCCATTTGCCCGTTTCCTTATCGTACTTTGCACCGGAAATTTTACGAAGAACTTCGTTTTCGAAAACCCTATATTTCTTTTTGTCCCTTAACGTAATCACGTTTCGCTACTATAAAGGACTACCAGTAGGATGATTGTTCTGTATATCCTGTTTTTTAAGCGCCTAGACAGCAACCGCGCGAGCTGAGTAATTTATTGACCGAATAAAAGCATGCATTGCCTAAATTGATTCTTTTCCCCGAAAACAAATAAGAAATATTTAATTACAAGAAAACTTTAAATGTAATGGAGTGCAAATTTTGTAGATGTAAAATATAATGTTACTCATTGTACCACTTTTTGTTCACGAACTGTACTTACGAGTAAAAGATAGTAATAATTAATGACAGTTAATAATAGATTTGTCCTAAATTTAAACCTTTGCACTGGTTCAAACGACAAGTTATAACACTAACACTGATATAAATTTAGCAAATTACATTAAAGAGTATTTTCACGATACGACCGCAGTTTGTCCTACAATGTTTAATTGTTTACAAATCCAAGTATTGTAGAATGATCGAAAATTTTGTTATTCCTCTAAAGCTGTAAGTTATATTGCCTCACAGGTTATACATATTTTAATAATTTTTTTTATTACACACAATTTATTTATTCGTTCCTATATAATTTGACGAATTTATTTTTGGTATTAAAGTTTATATTTATCGAATATTGTTTACATTAGTTTTGAAGTTATATTATTTATATTGTAGTTTTTATCATCATATTATGCCGTAACGGTTTCGCAGGACTACTAAATTAAATCAAGATGTATAGCTTATATCAGTTATTATTAGCAATTAATCATAAGTAAAATTTTTATATATTGTATTATTTTACATTAAATTTCGGTATTATTGCAAAATTTGTAACCCTTGGTCGCGTACCCTTGCCTTGATCGGTATTATTGGATTTATCTATTGCAAGAATGCCTTAATAATCTGTAAATCGATTGTCGTTACTTTTATTGATTGTTGCTGCGTTGTTGCTTGTAAAAAGTCTCCTCGACGGAGAACTGCTTGATGATTGCGTTGCTTTTAGATTGATGAGCTTTGGCTAGATTTTTGATGCCTCTTTCTGCGATTAGGCTGCTTCGTCGGATGCCGATGCGTTCTTCATTGTATTGCTGATGTTTGAATACCGGTGAATAGATATGAATCGTTAGTTGTGGCGAAATACCGGTGATGCTGGCTTTCCAAAGGTTTTTATAGTAAAAAATCGGTTTTCGAAATCCCTTCCCCAAGTTAATTGGCCTATAATACAAGGATTTACAGGGGACAACTACGAACTAGTTTTCCTTACCCGAGACTAGCAGCTGTGATGCTAACACAGCAAATAGTATATATAAACTTGTAAAACTGTTTTTTAGTATTTCTATACAAAAGTGTTATAATTTTAAACTAAATGCATATAGTATTGGTAACTGCATCGAACAATAAGCAGCAGAAGCTTTTTCAAGTATCAAAAATATAAATAAAGTATTTCAAGCTCTCATTGGTTTTACTCACGCTTGTAACCATGCATACCATCTTCTACTATCGCTGCATTACCGTACATGTGAAATAAAACAACACGTGGAAAAATTTCGCGAAATATAGAGTTCTCTAATGCATATAAAGATTATTTTTGCGTCGAGCAGCAGTATTCATTAGAACTACACTATGCACATTTAAACTTATTTTCTTTTTTACATTTTTAAATTTTCCTTTGATCTTTTCGCGGGAATGCAAAATCGATCAAAAGTTTCAGTCCATACTGCAAGTTTTGGATTGCTTATAAATATAAGTGTACAATCCGCAAGGACTCGGCAATATGACTTTTCAAAACACTTTTGGAAAAACCTTATTGACTTTACAATACTACCCCAAATATTAATATTACTGTTTCAAAATCTGCACAAAGAGAAAGATTCGAATTATTTCTTCATGTGAATAAACTATTTATAATGTATTATATGGACAGAAACTTAAATAATATTTAATTAATTAACCATTCTGCTAATGTAAAATGTATATCAGTTAACTGACGCATACTAGAATTTTGGGAAAATAAATTCATACAACTTAGCATTAGATTATTGTTTTGGAAATAACTTTTCATATGAGTTTTGAGAAACTTAATTTATGCGAAATCATTGTCAAAACGAAAACGTATTTCTTAGCAAAACAATTTTTTCGTTAAATGATCTTTAATAAAAGTATAGGTTGCTACTTTTGTTTTATATGTTTTAGGAAAAGTAAGGCTCTTGAGAATAGGTTCCATTTCTTTTTCACCCACTCGATAACTTTCTTCTAATTCTATTGTGTAGCTGTTAGACAGGAACATGCAATGACATCCTAAAAAAATCCAATTTCGTTGAATATTACTGTTAAATAGACAAATTATTATTTAAAATTAATCTTACTACTTATATAATTCTTATTGATTTTAACATTACTGAAGAAAATTTATAAACAAGGTCTAGCTTCGTGCCACATTATAATTTCTAGCTTTTCATCAAACCAGCTATTACGATCATCCAAAGACTTTCTGGTATATTTAATATACAAAGGACCTCTTAATGTTCTTTCAGTTCTAGCTAAACGCAGCCAAATTCTATGATTATAAGAAAAATGTTTGAATGTTTATACAAATTTTATCATGCAAATAAATGTATCGCAATATCTAATTTATATATATATATATCATTTTTAAAACAGTGATACATATATATCATATGTTCTTGATTAAATGATACCGGCAAACTTTTGAAGCATCACGAAGCTCGTTATCATAAGTTAAATACTTAAATACAATACTAACAACTATTACATGCTTGGAATTTTTTCATTTTTTTAAATATTATTTAAAAAGTTTTTTTCTATATATTAAACACACTGTTTAAGAATAATATTTCAAGCAAATATCATGTATATAAACAAATTTACACTTACAAGATTGTGGATTAAAAATACGATACTACCACTTATATAATCTCAAGTATTTGTAACAGAAAATCAAATATTATATTTCAAGTGAAATATTTTTACAAATTTTTAGTAAGAAAATAGAGGATAAGGAATCTTTTTGTAATAAGAGTTCATTGTGGATAGCATGCGTCTATGATATTTGTGTGTATTTGTTG